AGTTATATTCAGTGTATTTGAACATTCACAATGAAAAATGTTCATTTTATAGGGAGTAATGTAACTCAAAGGAAATTACTAATTTTTCTATGATGTTAATTTAAATTGCTATGTATGTGGTATTCTTAGTGGGATGGAAAACATTATTTTTATAAAAATGTTCAATGGACCATTTTCCAGAGACAGTCTATTAATTAAGTCTGCTGTTGTTTATCTTGAGAGTCTAAAAATACGCTAACCAAATTTACAAAAGCTTTAATTTAGGTGAGAGACTGGAAGGTCTGCTGAGGACACTCCAGGATCCACTGCCTTGGATTCTGATCACAGCAATTTCAGAGGCTGCCTTACTCATTAGCAGGTGGCAGTGTCTGAACTGGAGAAGATACATGTGGGCTACATACCAGGACATACACTGAAGGTAGAAAAATGAGCCACGTCCAGAAATGAGCTTTACCTCTCACACCATCAATCCTCCAGAAGTCTATAGTAGGAGCCAGTCATACTACCTCAGTCACCACTGCCAGGGGTCTTGATCCTCACTCACAGACAGCAAGAGGGTGGCGGGCAGCCAATTAGCATGATGGACTCAGGTAGACCTATGCACATATCCTGATTCAGCTTCACATCCTGGTAGCTGTGACAACTTGAGCAAGTTACTTACTCAGGACTCAGATCCTTAATCTATAAAATGGGGATAATAACTACTTCTCAGGGTTACTTGAGGATTAGAAACAGTGTATGCAAGTGCCTAGCAGAGTGCTGAGCATCCAGAAGACTCTCTATAAATGATAGCTATTATTATTGTTGGGCAGTGAGAAAACTCATCAGCCAAGTTTACTCTTAGTTGGAAGTACTTGTCTTTAGAAAAGATGGTGCCTCAGTCTTTGGCCTTTGCAACCTGAAAGCCCCCATGAGGGCTCCCTCTGGAGCTAGCTGTAGGGACAGCAGTGGCTTAGAAGAATTCTCAGGCTCTGCACACAAAAACAGGATCCTTGGAAATGGACAATTATTAATTTAGATATTTAACCATTTCAAGTTTTAACCATAGATTGGGGTAAGAACTTCTCTGTTTTCTGTGCAGTGCCCTTTCAGTTATTTAGTTCTTTATACTTTAGTTTTTGATACTTCATTCTTTTCCAATCCTTTATTCATTCTTTCAGTAGCTATTTCCAAAGCCTCTGATGTATGCCAGATGCCATGCTAGGGACTGAGGATACAGAGAAAAAAGTCACACATGGTCCCAGCACCACAGGAGTTTGAAGACTAGTCTTCCCTTCCCCCCACCAAGCGCTGTTGCAGTCATCACCCTGTACTCTTTCACGCTGGCTTTTTCCATTGTTTTCAGCCTCTACTCATATCTTTCCAGCCATCCTTCTCTATCCAGATGTTAGAGTCACTGAGCTTCCAACTTCCTTAGAAAAAGTACAGACTCATTGTTTAGCAATAAGGCATCCAACACAAACCACATCTTTGCTTATTCTACTTCAGTGGGGGATAGAACGGAAAGGATTTGAAGTTAGTGTTTTGTTATCCTCTTGCTGTAGATAAAGTGTGAGCCAGCATCTTTAGGTAGGAAAGGCCAATTTGGATTGTTCTTGTGTTTTATATCCCATTTTAGGGTAGAAGAATAGGAGAGGAGCTGGGGCATGAACAGAGATGTAGATCACATAACATTGCTTTGTTTTACTTTTCCAGGTCAGATATTTGTAAGTAATTTTGTGTTTTATTTAGAATTATTAATACATATTTTTCAAAACAACAGAAACACTCTTCATTCAAAATCCTAACTAAATACGTGTGCCAGACCACAAATAGGGATGGATTCTGGACTGTTTCCTATTTTTGTTGTTGTTGTTTAGACTGCAAACCTTAATGAGATTAGATAATTGTGAAGAGACTGTAATCCCATTTATCTGTTTTTAGTCAGGACATGAATTGGGGTACTTCACTGAGCCATGAAATTCTGTTGGGATAGGCCAGGATGATACCTACTGTTGCAGTAAAGGAACGTTATGTTGAATGTCTACTATATGGCAAGCACAGTACAAAATTCTTGATTTATGTAAAAGAAGTCATTCTTCACAGAAGCCCTTCAAAGTAGTTGTTTCATTCTCCAAGGTCTATATGAAAATAAAATAAAAAAAAAAAAAAAAAAAAAAAAAAAACAAAGTAGTTGTTATAGTCCTTCCTTTTATATGTAATGAAATAAAGGCTCAGAAATGTGAATGACTTGCCCAATGTCCCAAGTTAAGTGGCAGAGCCAGATTTGGGCTCAGTTCTCACTGGCTCCAAGGCCTATCCCTGTTATACCATGTTGGTTTCTCTTCATAGAGATAAATGTGTTACAGACTCCTGCCAAATTCTGTGGGAAGGATGAAGGAGAATGAGAAAGCACCTGAGGCGGTGTGGAGTGTAGTTTTCCTAAGTGGACCACGTCACACAACTCCCTTTCCCAAATGGGCGCTTCCCTGGTTTTGCAGAAAAGCTGCTTAGGATAATGCAGTGGATAGCATATGTGTTTTGGGACATAGGCCCTAGAAAATGTAGCCTAGGTTGGGCAAATTCGCAGTGGTTGTTCCAGCCATTCCTATAGCAATGGTGGAAGTGAGTGGAAGTTGAAGGAGTGGAGCCTCAGCTCACACAGCCGTTCCTTGTACCAAATACTGATGGTGCCTTCTGACTCATTGCAGATTGGAATGGTACAGTTGCCTAGAACTGTCTCCTTTCAGTGTTCATTTATTCGTGTCATTAACCACAGACAGCCTCCCCCTAGAGATTTCATATTACCTGGGAAGGGATTCTGTACTTAAGCATTTCACCCAGCATTTCTCACATGGAAGGGTCCTCTTCCAAAGGAATTTGCCCCATTGCTTAGGCTGTTTTCCTTTCCCCTACTCAAAGATTATTAGAAAAACATAATTCTAGAAATAGATGGCCATGTCAATACCATTTAAGCAGATTTGCTCACTAATTTCCATATTTCTGGAAGAGTTAAAAAAAATCACCCATTTTAGCCAACTTTATTTTTAGAAAAGTATTTTATTCAGACATCCCCTTACTTATTACAGACATAAATACATGCATTCAGACAAATGAATACACGGGAGAACCGTATAAAGTAATTGGCACATCACTTCAAGATGCTTTGTCAGTTACTGGAGGAATTTGGTGCCTCTGACTTTAATCTTTTCCATTAAAATATCCATTCTGCCTTCAGATTGTGAAGCCCATAATATTTTAGACTGTCTCTGCGGATCTGTTAGTTTTGCTTGTCAATTTAATTTGTGGTTCTATGACTTTGGTGATTGTGCATGGAAACATGTGATCTGCAAATGTTGTTCAACATACCAGGCTTAAGACCTAGCCTCTGCCCAGGGAGAGTGGACATGCAATAAATATGGAATTGGCAAATTTCATTTGCATCCAGCCTAATTGTTATGATGATGATGTATGGAACGGCAGATGTTTAGAGCTGCAAAGGAGCTCATTACTGTTATTATATACCTTAAATGTTTATAACACTTTTTACTTTTTGCAACACATTTTATATACACCATCTCATTTGATTCTCAGAGCTTCTTTGTGCTGGATGATTATGTCCCTCTTTATAGTGAAACTGAGACACAGAGAAAGAGGTTCAGTAACTTGCCTGAGATCACAGGGTAAATTGGAACTCAAAAACTGCCAGAAGACAAAACCAAATGGATCCCAAACAAGCCAGGTCACCAAAGCCCAGTTAGTGCAGTAGCCTTTGCCACGTAATTGCCATTTCCCTTGCTGTCCTTTGGGGAAAGGAGCTATGGGAATAGAAAGGTTTAGGCGCAGGAGGTAAAGAGTCCAAGAAGCAGAAACTGTATCATCAGGTCCACATAGATGACTGAAACCCACTTCCCAGCCACTTGCGTAGACTATTGCAGCCCTCATCCCTGGACCCCCTCCTTAGTTTCACCTGCACAGTACACATTCTACATGTCCCTGGAGAGACCTTTCTTAAATACAAATCTGAACATGTCTTGCTTTGGCTGAAAACCCATCACTGGCTCCCCACTGCCATAAGGATGAAGTCCAGATTCCTCTGGCACTGGGGTCTTACTTCTGGCCCAACTCTTTTCTCTCCTTCCACACTGAGTTCCTTACCATTGTAGAACCCATTCTGTTCATCCCCACCATCCTTTTTTGCTGCATTCTCTGCTTGGAACACATTTATGATGAACTCCTTAAATGTTTCTTTTTCTGTGGAGTCTTCCCTAACTTCTCCTCAAGGACTCAGAAGCTTCCCTTCCTATTCTGCATGCCCACATCACTTTGCTCAGCTCTATTTCCTGTTATTTCTCTTCTGGGTGGTCTCCCCCAGAAGGCTTCAAGCTACTTAAGGGCAGAGTTTGTGGTAAATGCATGTATTCTCTTATCTACCCTATAAGTCTTACAGACTTTGAATTTAAGAGAATAGATGAGTATGTACATGTAGGAATAAATGAGTGAATGAATGAATTAGTGAATGAAGAATGAGTGAGGAACATTGAACAGCCTGAGCCAGCAGGAAGAATGATGTTCCAAGGTCACATGGAATGTATCCCATCCCTCCCTCCCTCCCTCCCTCTCTCTCTCTCTCTCTCTGTCTCTCTCTCTCTCACCGTGGAGAGATTCAGACAGGGACATGAGTTAGGCCTTTTCCTGATGCCCTAGCATAGAGGAAAGCACATCAGGATTGAGAGACAGGGACTGATCTTCCTGGCCCAATGACCTCTGACTTCTGCCTACCCAGAAGGTTCTTACCTAAGCTTTTGGTGGTAGAAACCCTTCCACAGGGAGCTAGGGGTCTTTGTGAGAAGTTCCTACAGGCAGCATTGTAGGCTTCTAGATTCTAGGCTGTTTATCCAGGAAGAGCTCCCATGGCTGTTAGCAAAATGGAGGGGTAGAAGGTGAGCTCATAAAAGGCCTAGGATTAGGGAGAGCTCTGAGCTAAGGCATCCCAATCTTCATGTGACTCTGTCTTCCAGATGATGTCTGTCCTCATGAACACCATTGTCTTTGAAGACTGTCGGAACCAGTGGTCAGTATCCAGGCCTCTCCTGGGGCTCATCCTGCTCAATGAGAAGGTGAGTGTGATTGCAGGAAGGTCCTGGAAGGTGGTCCCTGGGAGGAGAGAGAAGCTGTACAACAGGCTGAGCCATGATGATGATGGATGGAGGAACAGAGCCAACTGAGTTGGAGCTGAGACCTTGAGAACTCTGCAATGACTCTATATTCTCCCAGAAGGCCCTGACCCAGAGGTCTCAGATCCTTCTTGGGTTAAGCAGAGGCCTCAAGACTAGCTCTTCTGGAACCCATAGCCCCCACTCACTGGGTGGGTAGTTTGCTCAGTAGTATTTCAAGCTCACCCTCTCTCCCCTCACCCCATTGCCAGGGAATTCTGAGCAACAACCCTTTTGCTTCCTCCCTTGGCGTCCTTGTATAACTAGGATCCCCACTGCCCTGGATAGTGGCAGCAGCAGCACAGCAGGCATTCCTACACAGAACCAGCACCCTTCATCTGGGGAACACACGTCTCCAGCTTAAGTGCATTTGTCCCCCTGAGCTGCCTCCTGAGCCTCTCCAGCTTCCTCTTGAACGCACCCCTGTCTCCCCAGTAGTCAGTAGGAACAGTGCATTACAGCTTGGGAGAATGAATTGTCTATACAATAAGATAGTACCGGGCAAAAAGACAGTGAGATTAGAGGCAGCTGCATGCATTAAAATTCAAACTAAAATCCCAGCCTTGGAAGGAAACTAATAGAAGAAGAAAATATATCAAAAAGAGAAGAGCTGTCTCATCATTCACCTGTGCTGAAGTATCCAATTTTAGCCACATTCAATAGCACTGTCATTCATCTTCCCTCAGTGTTATTGTGATTTAAATCCAAGCTCTATAAAAGAGAGCAGTTCTTTTAAAATGATTGAGAGGGAATAAGGGCAAATTCAGTGTTTAGAAAAAGCTTATGACATCACAATATTATACTTTACTGATGGAGGCAATATTTCATGGTTTGGGATGAAAAACTAATAATTTTCTATTTGGTGTGAGTCACTGCATCATTATAAAAGGGAAAAATAAGTAGTTTTGTGCATTCCCAATCTTGTTCAGGAAGACATTGTGGTTTAAGTATAATGCCTCTGATATATAGTATTTAAGTATTAGTCTGACTACATATTAATTATGTGTGTTTTTGATGTGAGCTGTTTTAATGTATGATGGAAATTAAATATCTTGCTTTTGGGGCTTGGAAGGATAAACACATGACTAGTAACATGTTGTCTTTGCACAGAAATTAGGCTGTTTCCACTGATTAGGAGCTGTGTTTAGCATCAGAGTTTGTGTTTATATAAAAGCCCACAGGCAGATGTGGTGGCTCACGCCTATAATCCTAGCACTCTGGGAGGCCAAGGCGGGCGGATTGCTCGAGGTCAGGAGTTCAAAACCAGCCTGAGCGAGATCCTGTCTCTACTAAAAATAGAAAGAAATTAATTGACCAACTAAAAATATATATACAAAAAATTAGCCGGACATGGTGGCGCATGCCTGTATTCCCAGCTACTTGGGAGGCTGAGGCAGAAGGATTGCTTGAGCCCAGGAGATTGAGGTTGCTGTGAGCGAGGCTGATGCTACTGCACTCACTCTAGCCTGGGCAACAAAGTGAGACTCTGTCTCAAAAAAATAAAAATAAAAGCCCACAGACCCCAGCAGAGAAGAAAGGGCAGTACAGATATGTGTGACAGGTATGACTGATTTTTTTCTTAGTGCTAGAAAGCTCTCCCCAAACTAAGCAAGCCCCTTTAGTACCCCGTCTCAGTGGAGCAGACCCATTCTAACTCACAAGGACAGAGACTTAGAGCATAGTCTAGAAATGATTCAAGAGTGATTCACTGAAGCCAGGAAAGATCATGAGGCCTGAAGGGAGACTCTTGGCCTTGCCTTTAGTCACCCAAACTAGGCATCTGTAGTGAAGTTCTTCCCTTCAGCCTGGGGCTGTTCCTCTTTCAGCCTTTCTGTGATTAGTGGAGATAAGAGTCAGGAAGATCATGTGTTTGATCCCCAACAGAGGATGCCAGGACCCCAGCAGCCTAAGCAGTGACAGTGGAACAATTATAGCAAGAGATTTTTGTGAAAAGGGATAATAGAATTTATGCTCAGGAGCATGTCTGTTGTTTAAGTTTTCTCTCAAGGCTTAAAGTTCAAAGTGGACCTGGACAAAAATTTCTCTGAGCTATTCTGTTTCCCAACAGTATTTTAGTGAACTGAGAGCAAGTCTGATAAACTGCCAGCCTCTTCCCAAGCAGGAGGTCCTTGCCCAGTGTTTCAGGAACTTGATGGAAGGAGTGGAGCAGAACCTGTCCATCAAGAACAGAGACAGGTGAGCATTGCCCACTAGGGCATCTCTGGGGGAGGCAGACATTCCAACATTCCAGATTGTTGAAAATAACTGAACTGTACTTAACACAGTCATATATTGATGTAGCTTTTTTATTACACCTGTGATCCTAGACCTAATTCAGTTCCATTCCATAAACAGAACTGGGTATTTGCATTCTTCTAAGCATCATGCTAGGCACTATGCAGGGATGCAGAGATTAATAAAATGTAGCCTTTGCTCTTAAGCAGTTTCTAAGTCAACAAGAGAGAGATAAAAATAATAGTAATTGAAAAGATCAAAGGTGCCAGGCACAGTGACTTACAGTTGTAATTCTAGCACTTTGGGAGGTTGAGGCAGAAGGATCACCTGAGGCCAGGAGTTTGAGACCAGCCTGAACAACATAGTGAAACCCCATCTTTACAAAAAAAGAAATTAAAAAAAAATAAAAAAATAATATTTTAAAAAAATTAGTTGGGCATGGTGGCATGCACTTGTAGCCCCAGCTACTCAGGAAGCTTGAAACAGGAGTATCACTTGAGCCCAGGAGTTTGAGGTTGCAGTGAACTATTATGCCACTGCACTCTAGCCCAGGTGACAGAGCAAGACCCTGTCTCAAAAAAACAAAAGAAGAAAACAAGAGATCAAAAGAAGGAGGCCAGGCGTGGTGGCTCATGCCTATAATCTTAGCACTCTGGGAGGCCAAGGCAGGAGGATCGCTTAAGGTCAGGAGTACAAAACCAGCTTGAGCAAGACCCCATCTCTACTAAAAATAGAAATTAGCTGGACAAATAAAAATATATAGAAAAAATTAGCATGATGGCCCATGGCTGTAGTCCCAGCTACTTGGGAGGCTAAGGCAGGAGAATCACTTGAGCCCAGGAGTTTGAGGTTGCTGTGAGCTGGGCTGATGCCACGGCACTGTAGCCCAAGCAACAGAGTGAGACTCTGTCTCAAACAAAAAAGAAGGCAACTCAGATTTGCTGTGGAAGATGAGGTAAAGCTTCCTGGCACTTGAACAACAACAGGCTTTGAAGTCAGACAGACCCCAGTTATATAGCAGTGCAGAGTGACTATAGTTAACAATGTATTGTATATTTCAAAATAGCTGGAAGAGAGGACTTGAAATGTTCACCAACACATAGAAATGATAAATACTTCAAGTGATAGATACCAGGTACCCTAAGTACCCTAACTTGATCAATACACATTCTGTGCACATAACAAAACATCACAGGTACCCCATAAATATGTACAAATACTATGTATAAATAAGGTTTTTTTTGAACTCCTGACCTTGAGCGATCCTCCCGCCTCAGCCTCCCAGAGTGCTAGGATTACAGGCATGAGCCACCATGCCCAGCCATAAATAGGCTTTTTTTAAAAAAAGAAAGAAAAAAAATTTTATCCCTCCCCTTTATAGTCTGTGTAGCAGTAAGGTAATTAACTTCTCTGTTTCTCAGTTTCTTTACCAGTACCGTGTTTCCCCCAAAATAAGACCTACCCATAAAATAAGCCCTAGCAGGATTTCTAAGCATTTGTGCAATATAAGGCCTACCTAGAAAATAAGACCTAGTGATGGGCGTGGCTACGCAGCGTGTCTGCACAACCCATGCATTTCGTCGCGGAGTGGTAAAGAAGACGAGCAGCCCTTCTCATCTGCCCCATGAGAGCTCTGTTGCTTGACATGAGAGATTGGGGCCAATGGTTCTAAAAGGAAATAGAGTCCCAAGAAATTCAGGATGGAATTCAAGGTTTGGAGAGTCTTGATGATGTTCCAGAAGAAGATGACTTAACTATATTTGAATAAATGTAGATTGTTGTACCATAGTTAAAAAAAAATAACACATCCTCTGAAAATAAGCCCTAGGATGTCTTCTTGAGGAAAAATAAATATAAGACCCTGTCTTATTTTTGGGGAAACATGGTAAAACAGAGATGATGGTAATTAATTGTTGTGATATTTAAATGACAATGTAGTAAAGCATGGTACCTGGGACATATGACCCACAGTTCTTTCCTTTGCCTGTCCTTTCAGTTGTCAATGAGATCTAAATGGCCTGAATTCGTTCATTCATTCATTTAGTTCGTAAAACTTGATTGAGAACTACTATGTGCAGACATTGGAGATATCAGTGGTAAACTACTCAAGCTTCCTGCTGCCCATGAGGAGCTTACACTGTAGTGGAGGATACAGACAGTAATGAATGATGGAGAAATAAAATGTGTTCAGGAAAAAACTGCCTAACCCCTCCTTTTATAAATGAAATGCAAATCATCAGTAGCCACAGTGCATCCTGGAGTTGCCAGCCTGGGCTTCAGTAATACAAGGCCAAGTCAGATAGGCTCTGCAGACATGTCTCTTGACTATTCATTTCCCTACAAGATCCTCATCTGGCACAAAGGGGCACCTGCAGAGGCCAGCCAGAGAGACTTGATGAATGCTGAAACCTAGGTGCCTTGGGGGAAATTGCTTCACCTAGGGCTTGGAAATTTTTCGTACCACTTCCTAAGCTGCTCTATGAAATGATGTCAGGCAGCCCTCCTAGTATAATGAGAGTAATAGCCAGCAAGGACTATTCTCCTTGTGCTAGGCATTGCATGCACTTAATAGCCATCGTCTCAATTGACTCAATAAATTCTCACTTTCTAGAGTCCTTGAGGTAGCTACTAATATTAGGCTCTAAGAAAAGAGGTTGAATATTCATCCACAGTCACCTAGCTCATAAGTGGTAGAGCCAGTATTTGAACCCAGGTAGTCTAATCCAGTATTTTCTGTTGTTCAGCCACTAACTTCAGTTTTCTTATCTGTAAAATGAGGATTCTTATATCTACCTTAGGGAAGACTTGTAATGATTAAATGAGTTTATATGTAAACTCAAATCTAGTTCTTGACACATAAACATTGATTCTTTTCTTTATATTTCTTACCATCAATGTGTAATTTTACTTTCTAAAAAATATTTTAAATTGTAGAACCACAAAATGCACCTCAAAATGGTCAGAGTGGGTAGTAGCCCTTGCTTTCCAGGAAGGGACGAGGGGAGGGCAGTGCTGGTGGCAGAACAGTAAAGGCAGGGGAAGTGGAGAGGAAGGGGTTCAGCCTGAATGGGGACAGGGGCAGCAGAGGGCAGAGGGGGGTCTCCAAGGGCCTGAACTCCACAGTGGCCTTATCATCCAGAGGTTCACACAAGCTTGGAAGCTTGGCCCTCAACCCTTTTTCCTGTTTCCACAGGTTCACCCAGAATCTATCCGTATTCCGAAGAGAAGTGGCAGAGGCTTTGCGCAGTGACGGCAATGCGGAACCCTGCAGTCTGGACATGATGAGCTGATCGTGTTGTGCCCAGCAACCTTCAGCAAGAGAATCTTGAAGGTCTGGGTCCCAGGATAGTGATGCTGGCTAGCCCAGGGGAACGTATTTTTCAAAACAAACAGCAACAAAAGCCCTACCTTTTTATACGTCTGGCCTAATTATAAGAATTTATAATAGTCACACATAATGTAAATTCAGTCTTTGCTCTGATAAGGCAAAAGATATGTTTTCAGTCTTTCTATTGAATATTATCTTTGTTTTCATAATGCTTTGAAAGGATGTAGAAACAATATTTAACCAAAGAACATAATAAACCAGGTTTGCACCTACGTGTCTGCTATTTTATGGTTGCAATTAAGGTTGTCAGTTTGTTGGAGATGCAGCCTTCAACATGGATCCTGCATTGTGACAAATGCCAATGGAACCGTTAAATTAGCAGTTTGTTGTGAGTCTGCAAGAGGCAGCTTTAGGGACTTTGGGCCATGGGCATTAGAAGGAGCCTGGGAGCACTGCGGGGCATCCCACAGGACTGCACACAGCCCTCTCTGCCTCAGCCGCATCTGATAAAGTTGAGAGACAGTAACACAATTAAATGACTTACAAACAACGTTTGCTTTTCACTGGCATAAATCTGAAGTGGTTCAGTCTAGAAGAATTAAGCTGTGCAGTTACTGCCTGCAGAGATATTTCTTTGGAAGGAGTCATGTAGCTCCAGTAAGAAGTTCTGGGTGGTGTCGGCATCCAGCCCTGCCTCCATTTAATTTTTAAGAGAAGCCAAATGTAACTGCTAAAATATTGTATTTGAAGCAGCTCTGCCTTCTCGTTCTACCCAAAACAGTTCTAAGTGCTAAAGTTCAGATTTTCAGAGGACAAGAAACAGCTGGTTTCCATTCCTCCACAAAAACTTATTACTGTTGGGATTGTGACTTAACCCAAACCCAGAACATGAAGGCCTTTATAGTTTGTGATATACTGTAACTAGGCTATTAATTTGAGATTGCCACTGTCAAGTGGGTTTTTTTTTTTATCTCACCGCTCTGTTTTTATGGTTCAGGCTTATAATAAATATTGTGCCCTTTATTTCTGATAAGACATGAAAGCTTGGCCTTACTGTTGAACAAGAAGTAAATCCACGGGGCTCCTGTTAAAATCTCATTTCTCGGACTAGTGTTTCTTGCAACCTTTCTTGATAGCTGAGTTTTACAACAGGCTTGTCACATAAAAGCAGAGTCACCAACTTTATCTCAAAATGTTTGCCTTCCATGTGTGAAGGAAATTATAGGAAAATGTGTCATAGATAGGATTACTTCTAGTATTTAATGGAGAAATAAGCTTCAGCCTTATACCATATTTCATTAGAAATGGGAAATAAAATTTTCCTTGAAAAGGGAAATTCTGAACGCTATAAGACATCAGCCATTCAGAGAAGTTTAACAAGAATTTCTATTTCTTGGGGGCTTATAACTGCATGCTCCATCCCACAATGTGTTATAGAAGCCCTATCCCATTCTGCACTGTTTTTACAAAATCTAGGATCTAAAAGCACCATATCATTTGCATTAAAATTCTCACAAGAAAATGACAATGTGCACTTGCTCCTCATTGCCACACTGCCAGAGGTCACTTGGTGGTTTCGCACTAGCCAAGAAAGGCTCCACCAGACTTGGCCTTTGAGAGCTGTTCTCAGAGGAACACTGGTCAGACCTGCCAGCAGGGGGGCTGACCCGGCAAGACCTGTCCGTGGTGCTGGCCTCGCAGAGCACACTGAGGGCTCTCTTGCCCTTCTTGCCCTTTACATCCGTTACTCCCGCTGTCCTCACAACAGCCTTATAGAGGTAGACAGCATTAGTCCCACTTTGCAGATGAGGACTCTAAGGCTCAGAGATGGTATATAGTTTACACAGGTCATAACAGGCAGGATTTGAACCCTTATCTGTCTCACTTCAAAGAAATTCCTGGCCTCTTCCAAGGAAGACAATTTTCAGAATGGTGAGTTGAAACCTGTTACATTTAAGTTGATTACCATTTGTTTTTTGGAACTCTACTGTTAAATAACAAATTTCTCAAAACTTAGTGTCTTAAGGCAACATTTATTATCTCACAGTTCCTGTAGGTCAGGGATTCATAGCTGAGTCCTCTCTTCGGGGTCTCTCACAGGCTGCAGTCAGGGTTATCAGCCAAGGCTGTGATCATGTCAAGGCGTGACTGGGGAGGGTATGCATCCAGGCCCACTGGGGGCTGTCAGCAGGAGTCAGGTTCTCAGGGGTTGTCGCCTCAGTTTTCTGCCAAATGGGCCTCTCAACACTGAGCTCACAACACTGACATCTTGTTTCGTGAGAAAAGAGCCAAAGAGAGTACAGCAATCTGGAAGTCCAGGCTTTTATAACCTCATCTCAGAAGGGGCGTCCCTTCACTTCTGCTGCATCCCATTCATTAGAAGTAAATCACTAGGTCTAGGCCACACATACGAGAACCTGATTTGGGACTGTGTCCCCCATCCCCAAGCTTGCCAGAGTCTGCCTCGGTAGGGGACAGTGGGACTCTGGGGAAGAGACCTAGAACCCCAGGATGTCTCTGTCAGGACATCCTCTCCCAAGGATAAGACAAGCATGCACAGGCAAGGATACACCCAAGCCTGTGGCAGCTATACAGAATAACCAGTGGAGCTATCATATGGTCTAATCAGATCGCGAGTGCATCTAACTTAGACTCAGAAACAGGAAAAAATAAATAGTTCTGGCAATCCCACAGGGCCTACAAACATGCTCAGAGTGAGGATGAGATGGGAGCTGTGGGCCTCTGTTTGCATACCTCACCCTTCTGATGGGATTTTAGTGCATAAACAGATGTATGGCTCATACAATGTGACAACTGCTCAAGCAAGTTGAAGGTATTTTGACTTTGCTTAATTTTTGCCTTCCACACTGACTTCAGAACCTGACCTTTGAGAAAGCTATATCCTGCCCACATTTTAGATGTTTCTGTCTTTCTGTGCTTTCCAAACAGACTTCTCTACACTGACAGATAAAGGAGCATCATACCCCTGCATTTGTGTGATGATCTGAACGGCCCAGAAAAGCCCTTTCGGCCCCCCAGACTCCCTTCCACTGGCCCTGACAACCGAGCCGTACCTTCTGGTTATGGTAGTGGGGCCCCTTTCAAAATGCAAAACTGGCCTGGCACGTAGCTGATAGCTGAGACTAGTGACCAAATTAGCTAATTGCCAACAGAGAGCTGAACACGAGAGCCAAAAACAGGGTAGGTTTGGTGAGAGAAATTGGAGAAAGTAAAAGATCTAGCACATAGAAAACCTCATCTAGATGGGGGCTTGTTCAGCAGTGTTGTGGAAGTAGCATTTGAGAAAACTTGGCTCCTTATGATGAGGAGGGAAATGAGTAACTGAAGAGAAGAGCATGGTAGAGTGGAAAGGGAGGAAGTAAAAGTTTCAAGACGAACATAAAATAATTAGAACTGCTATCATTTATTGAGGACCTGATAAGCATTACAAATTTGCTATCTCATTTTATACTTCCCAGTAAAAATGTCAACTATTATTATCCCCATTTTAGAGATGATAAAACTGAGACTAAAAGACTAACCCAAGGCCACATAGCTGGAAAGTGGACAAGCCAGGATTCAAAGTCAGATCTGCCTGACTCCAAAACTCATGTTTCTTTTCCACTACGATCCCTTGAGCTAGTACTTCACACTGGCCTTGGCGGGGACAGTTGGGTGGGAGAGCTGGATATGGAACCCTTTGCCCCCCCAGAGGGGCCAAGGCACTCCCAGAGAGAGGCCAGTCCAGGATGTGGGCCCTTTGTGTGTTGTGTCTGTGGGCTCTGCCACCGATTCATCCTCCTCCCTGAACTTTATAAAATCATTCTTGAGACTTTTTAATGTTTTATTGAGGTGCAAGTTTACGATGACAGCAAACCTTTCAAACTACAGCAAGAGTAACCTGCCTCCTTGGCATATTAAAAAATAATGTTAGTGTTGGTTTTTACGTGCCATAGTTTGGATTGCTGATAAGAGCGCTTCCTTGACAAGATTCTTTTTGAGGTTTACAGAAAGCGTAATAAAATATGTAAGTTACATTTCCACAAACAAAAGCTATAACATAAGTTATTTATAAGCGTGAGATACAAACAGTATCACGATAAATAAACCATAAAGGGTACCTGCAACATTCATCTTAATGTAATTTGCCCAACAAAAGTGTTGAAACGAAGTCAAATTTAGTAGAGAAACCTGTCAGGAAAGGAGGAAAGTTGTATAGCACAAAATAGGAAAAATGGCTGATGGGTGAGAGAAGGAAACAAACAAGGGCACGAGATGAGGCTTGGAGGTCCTTGAGAAGGCCACCGCCTGTGCTTGCTGCCCCCAGCCTGTGCACGCTGACCAACCCTGCCTCCCTGCACGCTGCCTTCTGCACACAGTCGCTGCTCGCACGGCCCTCTGCATCCCCACCGGCCCCCACACCCCTGCCCTATGGAGAAGGGAATCTCTCCTCCCCTCCTGTCTGCTGCCCTCTGTTCTAACCCCCAGCCCTCGTGCTGCCCCCAGCCTCCCTGCCAGGCTGGGCCCTCCTCGAGGCCAGCGCCTTGGTCTGACCCAACCTAAGTACCCTGGAAGTCATTGTTTCACTCGTTCATTCATCTACGACAGATAAGTCAGTGAGTGAGACAAAGTCTCTGCCCCCTTAGAGCTAGTGAGTAGGATTACAAATAAGATGGATTCCAGGGGCAACGAGTGTAGCAGTGAAAATGAACAGGCACATACAATGATGGGGAGGGGAACTGCTTTGCAGGGTGGGCAATAGCTGAGGGTCTTAAAGGGTGCCAAGTCATCAGCCACGGAAGAGCTGGGGGAGGTGAACACAGCAGTGTGTACACGCAAAATCTGGGCCCGATTCTGAACCTGCTTCCTTATCCCCTCATCTGACCTTCCTGTGTGCTACTCAGCTTAATACCAATTCTTGATAATGGAATCTAATGCCACTGCCACTGTTCTGCCCTAAAGGAACTTCCAAGCCAGTAAGTAGCATTGACAAGTGAGCCCCACCATGGCCAGCCCTCACTCCTGCTCCTGGGTTCAAATCCCAGGGCCACCCCCGCCCAGCTGCATGCCCTTAGGCAAGAGACTTCACTTCCCTAAGCCAACTGCTCTTTAAGCCTCATGGCCTGTGGTGGGGAACCCGAGCAGTGCCCAGCACCTGCTGGCCTTCTCCTTCCTCGGGCTGGCAGCCTTGGGCCCTTGCAGACCTCAGGCAGGTTCTTCCCCAGGTCCTCCCCACAATCAGATGGGGAAACTGAGCCCCAGCGTTGAGACGTGGCCCAGCAAGTTTGAGTAGGTGCTCAGTAAACATTTGTTGAATAAAGGAATGAATGGGTGAATAAATTTGGGCAGGTGTCTTTAGAACCTTCCATCATAAGAACTGGAGGCCCCTGGGGAACCCTAGCTAGGACGTGCAAGCCAACGGCGGGGCAGGTCAGTGGCCTGTGACATGGGAGATATGCCAGATTCTTGCTTGTGTCTTTTTTGTGGAAGCAGCCCATAATATTTTCATCAATCTTTCAAATACAGTAGCTGATCCAAATACACTAGGAGCTTGTTTCTCTCTGCCCCCTTTTTACCGACAGGGAAATTGTGTCCCAGTTTGCACAGAAAGTCAATGGCAGAGTGAGCCTGGAGGAACCTAGGCATCCCGCGTCCGGGCTCATGGACCCACTGGAAATTCCTGTCATCCTGATGCCCCACCCACCCCACGTGCCTCCCAGCAAGGCCTCCAGCAGTGCCACCCCTTTCTCCCAGCTTCTCCATGGGGAAGAGTAGAGGATGTACCCCAAGAGCCCAGGTCCCCGGTTCTGCAGTTCTGAGAATTCTTGTTTTCTAATCTCTCTTTCAGTGTGGTATCTCTGTGTGTGTGTGTGTGTGTGTGTGTGTGTGTGTGTGTGTGTGTGTGTGTGTCGCTCTGTTTCTCATTGTTCAGTTGATAGCAGGTAAGAGGAGCGGCAAGAAATTACAACCTTGGAAATACCAAATGTATATCAAAACATATTTGGCAAAAACAGTGCTCTGAAGAAAATTTAGGGCCTTGAATGCATTTATTTAAAAAGAAAAGTCTGGGCATGGTGGCTCGAACCAGTAATCCTAGCACTTTGGGAGGCCAAGGCAGGAGGATTACTTGAGGTCAGGAGTTTGAGACCAGCATGAGCAAGAGCAAGATCCCATCTCTACAAAAAATAGAAAACTTAGCCAGACATAGTGGCACATGCCTATAGTCCCAGCTATTCAGGAGGCTGAGGCAGGAGGGTCGCTTGAGCCCAGGGGTTTGAGGTTGCAGTGAGCTATGATGACACCACTGCACTCTAGCTAGGGAGACAGATCGAGACCTTGTCTCAAAAAAAAAAAAAGAAAAGAAAAGAAAAATGGACAAAATGAATTAAAATTTCACCTCAATAAACAAAGAAAAAATTAACTTAAAGAAACCCAAAACATTCATGAAAGAGACGGCATTAAAAAAAAAAAAAGAAAAAAACGATAATAAGAGGTGAGAGGCCTGGAGTTTGAGATCAGCCAAAAAAGATAGACCCTATCTCTAAAAAAAAATTAAAATTTAGTGGGGCACAGTGGTGCACACGTGTAGTCCCAGCTACTCAGGAAGCTGAGGCAGGAAGATAATTTGAACCCAGGACTTTTAGGTTGCTGTGAGTTGTGATGATGCCACTGTACACCAGCCTAGGCAACACAGTGAGACCCTGTCTCTGGGAAGAAGAAAACACGAATAATGAAATAAAAGGCTTTTTTCAAAATCAGCAAAATAGACCTTTGGCAAGGATGATCAGGAGAAGGCAGAAATAAGTAACACTGAGAATGAAAAGTGGAGGACATTAGCACAGACTCATATGAGAGTTTCAGATTATGAGAGAATCTCCCCACGATGTTGTAACAATAAATTTGAAAATTTGGATGAAATGGACAACATTCTGGGCACTGGTTTCCAAGCTTGAGCATCAGAATCACCTGGAGGGCTTATTAAACATAGATTGCTGAGCCCTCCCCAGAGTTTGTGATTCAGTAGGTCTGGGTAGGGTCTAAGAATGTGCATTTTCTAACGAATCCCCAGCTGCTGATGCTGGTGCAGGAACACACTTTGAGAACCACTGTACTAGGGACTAATTCCTGCCCCAATTTATGCTCCCCCTTCCTGAGCTGCCTAACAGCGCTCTTCCGTCTGGATCCAGAATAAAAGGGGGTTTATGATCATTGGCCCCAAACGCCTACAGTAGGTTGACTGAGAAAGGCCAGCCCCAAGCAGTGAGACCTTACCTATGACAGGCACTGTCCTTAATGCTTTCACCTGCACGCGCCCATTTAATCTCATGAGGCTGGTACTGCTTCTTCACTAGATGAGAAACTGAGGCACAATGAGGATGAAGAATTCCCTGAGCCCACAGCTGGTAAACTGCGGAATCCAGTTCTTTGCACATGCCCTGAAGCCATGCTGGCCACACCACCCACACCTGTGCCACACGCACCTTGATCCTGTGCCCCGCACCTCTGCAGGGGCCTTGCTGGCCACCCGGGCTGGAGCAGCCAGAGGGAAGTGCGGCCGCTGAGGTGACCCAGTGGGGGCTGTGGATCACTCAACTCTCTGAGCCTCACTTCCCGCATCACTCAAAACTTGGGGTCAAAAACAGCCCCTTCCTCACAGAGATGTCGTGAAAAACAAACCAGTGTCCGCCCTCTGCCTGGCCCGCGCTCGGTTTCCCACCGCAGCAGCTTCACTGCGGTCCTTAAAGTTGTCATTATGTAACCGCCAGAGTTTGTACCGCCACTTCCACAGATGGTATCTCATTTAGTCCTCACAGCCACCCTGGGGGTAGCTAGTGCCCTTTCTCTTTTACAAATAAGGAAAAGGAGGCTCGGGGAGGGGCAGTGAGGGACCCAACGTCCCCCAGGCGGCCAGTGGCAGAGCCTGAATTAGAAGCAGGACGCCTCCCGGGCCAGGGCAATGGCATCCACCCATCTGCGGGTCCTCTCCCGGCAGGGGAGGGAGGCAGTGCCCGCCCAGACCCCAGGCACCCTGCACTCCGCACCCCTCCCTGCCCAAGGCCCCGCTCTCTACTCAACACAAAAGTTCAGCAAGGGCCAGCAACTTGCTGAAGGTCACACAGCGGGCAAATGACCCACCTCCGGACCCAAGGCTGGGGCCCTGCAAATCCTGAGGCATCTGGACCGCGGGGAGCAGACAGGAAGAGCCCCCGCCGGCTGCCTCTCACCGCCCGCCTCCTCTGAAACCCGCCCTGTCGGCGGGCAAATACACCTTCCTCTCCCAGGACTGAGCCTGCACGCATAAAATAAAACTGCAAACAAAAGAAACAAGAATCATAACAATACATCAACCATTGCTCTGGGAGTGGGGGTGGGCGTGGGAGGGGAGCGGCCGCGGTGCCTGCGTGCCCGGCCCTGTGCTCTGCTCTGTTTCTCTCCGCAGCTCACGGTCTTCCCCGCCACGCACGCATTATTTTCCTTTTCACAAACGAGAAAACCAAAGCCTAAACACACGGAGGCACCTGCTCAAGGTCACTCAGCTAGGAAGCGGCCAGTTCAAATTTGAACATGTTTCTGGCCAACAGCTCATCCGAGTTCTCACCACTTCCCGCAGAACAGGGAACGCGAGGAGCCCCAGCCAGGGACGCAGCACTCAAGAGTTTGCACCTAATGATTTTAGAATTAGCCAGGAGAAAACGATTCTGCATGTCTCTCCCTCGGGCTGGAGCGGAAGGTGACCGCTCCGCGTGCGGTCCTGTGCACTGTGTCCCTGGGCCCCAGGGACAGTCCCAGGGGCGCGAGCAGAACGGGGAGCGGTCCCCCGCTGGACTGCAGCCGGGAGGGGCTCACTGCTCGCGTGTCCCAAAGAAACCCCGCTATTTTCTCTAAATATGAGGTGTCTCCTGCCTTTGACGCTCGGGAACCCCGAGGTCCCTGGACCTGCCCATCCCCAGGCGGGTCCCTACCCGCGACCACAGCCCCTCCAACCTGCAACGAATTTCTAGAGCCAGATCCCCGTTCCCCACAGGGCGACCCCAGGGCCCCTGCCCAGCCGGGGCCGGCACGCGTGGGCACCTGCGAGTCGCGCCTCGGTCCGCCTGGCCAGCCAGGGAGCGTCTCCAAAGTGGCCGCGATGGCGCGGCCGAAACCCGGGCGGGGGCGAATTCTCCCCACGCGGGGCGGCGTCCTCCGGGGCGCGGAGAACGCTTCGGGGCTCCCCTGGCCCCGAGAGTAGGGCGCCCGAAGCCTGCGCCCCGGGGCGCGCCCCTTTCGTTGCTCCCGCGGCGGTAGAGTGTCCAAGAGCCTCCGCGGCTTCCGCAGGGTCGTTCCGGGCTGCAACTCCATTGTAACTGGAAGGGTTCATTTGGTTTGGATTTTGCTCAGATGAAAAAAACTGGAAGAAAACGAAAACCCGGTCAGCAAAAGACAATTTCAGGAGCTGCGCGCTCGGCCCGCCCGGCGCGGCGGCCTGGAAGCGGCCGGGCCGGAGGAGCGGGGAGCGTCTGCTAATTGCAGCTTCGTTAGATTTCGGGTTTGGGAGGCTGCGGTTCGGGCGCTAATATCCGCCGCCCATTATCCCGGCTAATAAATTTGACCTATTGTTCGTTTGTTAAAATGATGTCACCTTGGAACAGTCCCTAAGCTCCTATTTCCATGAATTAGGCCTTTATTGAAAGCCGGGAGCCAATGAGAGGAGAGAGGCTTGTTGATCGCAGCCAATGGCTGCGGCGGGAGAGGAATTAGCAGCGGAAACTCCAGGTTCGGTTCAAGAAAGATGACACAGAGCCTGTCGGGCCCGCGCACTCTTGGCAAAGTTTCAGTGCGACGAGAGGCGCCGGGCGCTCCATGGCCGCGCCGTAACGGGGACCCAGCCGCCTCCCCGCCCAGCCCGGCCCAGCCCTTCCGCCCGCCCAGGATGGAGGCGCCCGCCAGCGCGCAGACCCCGCACCCGCACGAGCCCATCAGCTTCGGCATAGACCAGATCCTCAACAGCCCCGACCAGGACAGCGCGCCCGCCCCGCGGGGCCCCGACGGCGCCAGCTACCTGGGAGGGCCCCCCGGGGGCCGCCCGGGAGCCGCATACCCGTCTCTGCCCGCCTCCTTTGCCAGCCTCGGCGCGCCCTTCGAGGACGCGGGATCTTACAGTGTCAACCTGAGCCTAGCGCCCGCCGGCGTGATCCGGGTGCCCGCGCACAGGCCGCTGCCCGGGGCCGTGCCGCCGCCTCTGCCGAGCGCGCTGCCCGCCATGCCCTCCGTGCCCACGGTCTCCAGCCTGGGCGGCCTCAATTTCCCCTGGATGGAGAGCAGCCGCCGCTTCGTGAAAGACCGCTTCACAGGTGAGCAGCGCAGGCTCCCGGCTCCAGGCCTCCGCCCTCCGGGTGCCAGAGGCGCCGCGCCCTTTGCGCTCCACTCCCGGAAACGATTCCAGAGGCCCAAGCGCGGCGGAGGCCTCAGCGCCCAGGGTCCCGGGCAGCCGTGGAGGGGAGGGTAATCGGAGAGTCGCAGGAAAATAAACCCGTGCCCGGGGGAAGGGGCAGGGGACAGGGGCGTCTACCGACCGGCTTGGTACCGCTGGGACGCGCGGGCCAGCGCAACAGCGGAGCACTCTGTCCCACGGGGCGCCACGGGGTCCGCCTGGGGCCCGAACGGCGACCGAACAGGGCTGGGCTTTAGGGGCCCTCGTGTGTCTCCACAGCGGCAGCCGCTCTCACGCCCTTCACCGTGACCCGGCGCATCGGCCACCCCTACCAGAACCGGACGCCGCCCAAGCGTAAGAAGCCGCGCACGTCCTTTTCCCGGGTGCAGATCTGCGAGCTGGAAAAGCGCTTCCACCGCCAGAAGTACCTGGCCTCGGCCGAGAGGGCGGCGCTAGCCAAGTCGCTCAAAATGACGGATGCGCAGGTCAAGACCTGGTTCCAAAACCGGAGGACCAAGTGGCGGTGAGAGAGGCCTCCCCGGCCCCAATGCACCTGCCCTCAGCTGCCCCTGCCCGCCCCAGCCTCAGTCCGCTCTCTCCCGTCCCGGCTACCCCTCACCCGCCCCCCCCCGGGGCTGGGCCTCCCGCCCCCGCCTCCTCCTCCCCGGCCTCGCGCGCCCCGTCTCCCCGCATCCCGCTCTCCGCGCCTCGGCTGCCCCGCATCCCTGCGTATTTCTCGTGAGCCCCCAACTAACTCTCTGTTTTGTGCGGTCTCTTACGCTGGTTCGATCTCCCCTCACCTCCCCTTCCCCAGCACACACGCACACACGCGCGCACACACACACGCACACGGGCCTCCCGAACCCTCCTCCCCGGCCTCGTCCAGCCCGTTCGCTCCGATTTCCAACAAGCTGCGCGGACCCCGGGGCCCTCGCTCGCGCCGGGTCTCGACTCCAGCCGGCCCTGCTTTTATCCGACCCCGTTCGGAGCCGCACCAACCCGCAAACGGCGAAGCGACCGCATCCCGGAAGGGGTTCGAGGCAGGGCCCTGGAGACCGAGATGAACTCACGCGGCCGCGGGCGGTGCAAGCCGGTCCGCCCACCCGCGGCCCCGCGACCCCGCTGCCCGCAGGGCCGAATCGGTTACACTTACGCCCGGCCCTTGCTGTCCCGTGAAAGAAACGATCTGTATTGTTGGCGAAGCCACAATACCCGGGCGTGCAGGTGGCGGCGGGCGCCCCCCGGGCGCACAACAAAAACAAACGGTCCCAACCCACCCCCGGGATACGAGGGCCTCGGGCTCAAAACCAGGGCTGGAGGTCAGACGGGTTCTGCGCCCCCCGCTCTCGCACGGCCTCGGGTCCGGGAGGGGCGCGGCCCCGCGCCGGGTGCCTGACGGCGCTGTCCCTCTCCCCCCGCGCAGGCGGCAGACGGCGGAGGAGCGGGAGGCGGAGCGGCAGCAGGCGAGCCGGCTCATGCTGCAGCTGCAACACGACGCCTTCCAAAAGAGCCTCAACGACTCCATCCAGCCCGACCCGCTCTGTCTGCACAACTCGTCGCTGTTTGCTCTGCAGAATCTGCAGCCCTGGGAGGAGGATAGTTCCAAGGTCCCCGCCGTCACCTCGCTGGTGTGAGCCCCCAGCGCGCACCGCCGCCAGATCGCCGCCCCCACTCGGCGGGGCGCCCAGACCCCCAGCCGGGCTGGGGGAACCGGGGCCCAGAGGGGAAGGGGCCGCCGAGCTCCAGTGGGCCCAGGGCGCGGCCGCAGCCGGCCCGCCGCGGAGGGGCAGGGCCCGGGCTCCGCGCGCCGCACAATCCCAGCCCCCGCCCGCGCCCGGCCCGCCCGGCCCGGGCCTAACAAAGAAAGCGCCTTACGTTTCTCCGCCCCCCGCCCGCACCCTCCGGGCCGGGCGCCTGTATTATACTTTGTACTTTTGCCCAAACGTGTAAATAATAAAAGTTTTGGCTTTTTTCTTTAGAAACCGGTCACCTGCTTCCCCCGCGGGGCAGCCGGAGGAGGGGCGGCCGCCCTGGCCGTTGGGGGAAGCGCCAGGGCCGAGCGCCCTGCGTTTAGGCTGGGTCCACTCTTCTCTTCCGTTCCTTTATTTAAGTCGTTTTATTTAATAAAAAAAGTTAGCTATTTCACTTAACGCCGCTTTTATTTCGTTTTCGTTCCAATAATGCTCGGCGACCCGGGCCCTGAGCCCCGCCCGCACCGCGGGAGAAGCCGAGCGCCGGTGTCGGGGCGCGTCCACTTCTCCAAGGTTCGTCGGCGTCACCTCAGCTCGGTCCCGGCCGGCGCCCGGCGGAGGAGGCGGTGCAGGTCAGTTCGTGCCGCGCCGCAGGACGCGCAGGGCACGTGGGAGAGGGGCTCTGGCCAGAGGCCGCGGCCCAGCGCCGGGAAGGCTGCGCTGCGGGCGGAAAGGCCGGCGGGGCTGGTGCGCGATCGCCGGTCAACTCCCCCTGGGGGCTGCGGGCGGGCGGCCTACAACTTCTTGGGACCCAAGCGGGACCTGGTAGATCCCCCTACACCCCCGGCCCGCTCTGCGCTCTCCGTTTCCAGGGGCCTGAGAGGCCCCCGCCCCACTCACGGACCCGGCTCGGGCGGACCCGGGCGCACGGTGGGCGGGCTGCGAGCCGGCCGCTGCACGCCCCGGAGCAAGGCCTGCGCACACCCCCAGGCCCCGAGCTCCCTGCTCCCTCTCGGGTACGCGTGGGACCCCAAGTAGAGCATAACGTCATGTGACGTCACTGCAGCCCCCGTGGCGTCACCGGGCAGGAGGGGCGGGGCGCCCGGAACGCCTAGAACCCTAAGCCTAGGTGGCCGGGAGTGGTGGCGCCGTGGACGGGTCCACGCAGCTTTATTGCGGCTCAAGAGGTGGAAGTTCCTTAACTGCGGGATTTCGGAGAGGCTGGCCCCTTGTGACGACACACACTCCACACGTAGCGCTTCCGCAAACATTTCCTCTTGCTCCCCTTTTGTGATTCTTTCGGACTTTTATAAACTCTTCGTCCTTTTTGGTCTCTGCATTTCTGTCTTTACTATGTTCCTTATTTTCTCCTCTGTGTGTGCTCCGGGTCTCCGTGTGCTGCGCCTTCTCCTTCTCTTTACAGCCTTGTGTTTCTCTGTATAGCTGGTTCTCTGTTGCTTTTAATTTCTGAGTCTATTTTTGTTGTTAAATGCGCTCTTCTTTCCCCTTGCCTCTCCCCACTTCTTGTCCCTGTCCGTCTCTCTCCAGGTTTCTCTTTCTCTCTGCTTTCCAGCATGTCCCTTTTTGTCCTTTTGTCTTCCCTTTCTCACCTCTCAAAACCTCCTTGCACCTCTCTCTTTCTTTCTCCTTTTTACTTTCTTTCCTCTTTCTCCCTGTCTCCCTCCTCAAGGCCTAGCTCCCAGCAGCTCCATGAGAGTAAACACTTTCGGGGCAGTGTCCCAGGGCCCAGAGCACCCTGCCCGCCTCACCCTCCGCCACCCTCGAGCCGAGCCGTGCGCCACCCCGCGGGCTCCGCGCCTCGGCGCCTTCGTTCCACGCGGGCTGCGGCGCGGCCTGGCTTGCTGGGCTGGAGGACGGGGTGGCATCTAAGAAACACGCCCTGAGCTCCCAGGGCTCCTGCCCTCACTCCCACCTCCAACCCTGCTTATCCGGGATCCGCAATCTGGGCGCACAGACACCCCGGGGAGCGACTAGGATGACTCAGAGCTTTGGGTCTCCTCCGTGGGTGTTTTCCTGAAATGCTTTTATTTCCTCCACTAAAAAGTCGAGCTTGGCCCTTCGGCTGGGGACGAGAGGGACATTTGCCTTTGCTGGCTAAGCTGCCCTTCCTCGAGGACTAGCGTCGCTTTCCAATTCCCTCCGGTTCATTCTGTTGCTCCATAATAAGGCCTAGTGTTTTTGTTTCTCTAAATTACTTTTGTTATCTTGCCATGGCGACCCTCGATTCTTGGGCCTCTTTGGGGAAACACACACGTTGTCTTTATGGCGCTTCGCTTTGCGCAAAGGGTCCAGGGCCGAGAGGCCTGCCCGCGATGGGCGCCCAGGCGCGGCATGGAAAACTGGTCGTGCTGCGGCCCTCCAGCGTCCTGGCTTTCCCTCACCTGGGGCCTTCGCGGCGCTGGCCGTTTCCGAGCGCTCTGCCCCGACCGAGCCTTGCGGAGCCAGAGTTCGGCTCGGGGTCTCTTCGAGTTACGGGGCCCACACGTGTAGGGCCTGGGCGCAACCGTCTCTCGCCTACCCACCCGGAGCCGTGGGGCGCCCCCAGCGGGTGGGGGCCCCGCGGCGCAAACGCTTAGTGCCTAACCCCGTCCTCCGGACGCGCAAAGCCGCTAGGCCGCCGTTTCTGCGGTGGCTGCGGGACCAAAGTCCGAGGACGCCCCTTCCAGGGATACACAGCTGCCCGCCCATCCCCCGACCGGGAGGGCTGTAGTGTGCAGCTGGGGCACGGACTATCTGGTCGGGCAGGGTCCCGGAGGCTGAGCTTAAGGGGGGAAAATCTAGGGAGGCCTCACAAGGCGCGTTTTGGCGACGGTCCCCCAACTTTAGGCCGGCGGAGGCTCCGGAGGCAGGGGGCGGGTGTGGGCGCCCAGGCCGCCGAGGGGAGGACTGGAGACGAGAAGCAGCGGCCTCTGGACAGGAGCAGCGGACACCGCCTCGCCGCCCTCGCCACGCCGCCTTCCTCAGTCTGAGTTCCGACGTCCCTGGGCCGTGCCCATTTTACAGATGCAGGGTAAGGAGACGATCGGCAGCTTCGGGCCGAGCAGACTGGTGGCGCGGGTTCTCCTCGCACCCCGGGTTCAGGGCTGCGCCCGAGCCCTACGCGGCAGGCCGGAAGGCCTGAGCCCACGGCGCCCGCGAGGACGGGCGAGGCTCGGGCCTGCGCGGGGAGTTGGGTTGTGCTTAGCTCTCCCTGGGAGGCTCCGCAGCAGTGGAGTCTGCGGTTGGGGGACGATGTAATGGGGACCTGGTCCATTCAGAGCCCTCGAGAAAGAGGCCCGTAAACTCTGGGGCTCGCTCCCCACCGGAGGGAACGGCCCACCTTCCGCAGCTCCGGGTCCAGCGCCGACCGGCCCGAGCTCCGCGCGCGCGCAGTGCGCGGTTCCCCACGACTCGCGTGGCGTCTGCGAGGTTCGGATGCTCGCCCCAATTTGCAGGAGGAAAAACTAAGCCGCAAGAAGTTCAGAAATGAGCTCTGGGTCGCGCAGCAGCGGCGGCCCCGCGCTCTCCCCGACCCAAGCGCTCTCCGTAGAGCTGGGGCAGGGGCTGCGTGGTGAGGAGAGGAGGCGGCAGGGGGCGGGTACCTGCGGCCACCCTGACGCTAGGCCGCGGGGTCTCAGTGGGACAGCAGGGCCTGTCCACTCCGGCTTGGGCGGTGGGCTCGGGCTCAGAGTTCCCAGGGCGCCCAGCGCCTCTAGCCTCGGGGCTTGCGCGGTGGCCCCTTTGCCGTCGGTGGAGAAGCGGGGAGATCTCGCTGCCACCGTCCTGAGCTTAATGGTGAGACCCCGAGGTCCCGCTGCGCCCTCGGGCCGGG